CAAAATTTGTGCACAACAGGAAAAAGAGGGGGACATGCGCAGGGCAAGAAGCCAGGGAGTCAACAGACAGACAGACAGACATGAGATCAGTAAAAATAAGATACACAGAAGGAAAGAAAAGTAATAAACCCCAAAGCAAAAGGTAGATAAAAAGAAACGTGTTATTTAAGTTAATGGAGCTAGCCAGAAACGAGCCTAAGCTAGGCTGAGCATATATAACTAATAAGAAATCACTGTGTTGCTGAGCCTTGGTGGTGCACACCTTTAGTCCCAGCACTCAGGAGGCAGAGGCAGACAGATCTCTGTGAGTTCAAGGCCAGCCTGGTCTACAGAGTTAGTTCTAGGACAGGCTCCAAAGCAATACAGAAAAACTCTGTCTCAAAAAACTAAGAAAGGAAGGAAAGAAGGAAGGAAGGAAGGAAGGAAGAAATTACTGTATTACTGTGTCATGAGTATGGAGCTGGTTGATGGCCCCAAAGAAAAAAATCTGAAAAATCTAGTACAAATGAATGCAAGTTTGTTCTTTTTTAAATTTCTTTTCGTTTGTTTTTGTTTTTGATTTTTTGAAACAGGGTTTCTCTGTGTAACAGTCCTGGCTGTCTTGGAACTCACTCTGTAGACCAGACTGGCCACAAACTCACTGAAAGCCTCTGCCTCCCAAGTACCGGGATTAAAGGCGTGCGCCACCATCACCCGGCTGTTGGTTAATTTTTAATATATGTACCTTAACATCATAGGGTGTGGAACCCAGAGTGTTTCCAGGTGATGTACTGGCACAGCAGGAGTATATTGTCTCTGCCTCTGTGTTTAGGCCCCAACCTACAGCAGTCAATGCACACCATGTAGTTTCATGGCTGATGCCTGCAGTGACCCCTTTGTACAAAGACAAGATTTTTTGATGATTCTCTGGAAAATTAGGGACACATAGAAGAAAGATTTCCCCTTCAGCAGCTTGAGACAGCAGCCTGGGGGGGGGCAGGGATAGGCAGGAATTCTGCAGAGGTGGGAGGAATCCTGGCTTGGCAGCTCTGTCTGTGGCATCAGGTTCCAGTGCTCCTTGTAACTTAGGCTGTGCTGAGCAGACTCATGAGATGTGACATTTCCCAGCAGTGCAACAGGACAGAAGCGGCAGGACTTTCCCTTTGTTCTGGGAGTTGGTCCAGAGAGGAAGGCTGCTGTCTGAAGAGGCTTTGTGCCCCCCCCCCCCCGTTTCCATCCCTCCTCCCTTTCCTCCCCCCCCTCATTTTCATTATAATGAAGCAGTTCTCCAGGCTTCGAAGGAAAGGTCCTCCTTCCCTTACGTCCCTGGCGCGCCTGGATTCTCCTCCTTCCCTTATGTCCCTGGCACATCTGGATTCTCCTCCTTCCCTTATGTCCCTGGCACATCTGGATTCTCCTCCTTCCCTTATGTCCCTGGCACATCTGGATTCTCCTCCTTCCCTTATGTCCCTGGCACATCTGGATTCTCCTCCTTCCCTTACGTCCCTGGCACACCTGGGTTCTCCAGCATCCTATTGTTTCTGTATGACTCTTTCCTCCAACCTCCAGGACCCATCATGGCCTTAAAACCCTCCTAGTAGGTTTTCTCACCCCCCCCCCCGTTTCTCCTCCATCAATGCCGTAAACCAGATTAAGCCAAATTGAAAAAGTATAACAACAGGTTTATTTGAGCCAAGCAACCCCCAGATGGGTTCTCCAGTCCCAGAGATTGAGGCTTGAGAAGCTGCTCGCCTGAGCTAAACCTGGGAGATTATATAGTTTGTAGGCTAAAGTTGATGTCATGTCTGACATAAGCTGGGTTTGTGCCCAAGTATGGTCAAAAGCTGACTACTCTAAGTGGGGACTTGGGCTGCTGGCAACTTCCGGGGAGGTGCTGCCAGACCCACTGAGAATGTGGAACTAGGCTTTTGGCACCTTTTCTTTGTTGGAGATTCTCTAAAAGGGCAGGGATTGCGGAGACAGGAATGGGGCTTTCCAAATCGTGCCGGGGTGAGATGGAGGCTCCATAACAAGCCATGCAGAAAAGATTTGTCTCAGCTTCCTGTGGGAACCTCCCAGCCCTGATGCTTTTCTTACAACCCTGAACAGAAGAAGCCCCTGCCAGCAGGGCTGCCATTGGCTGGGAGGTAGGAAGCGCTTCAGCCCTGCACCCAAGCTCCGTGCTCGGCCATCACCTCTGCTGTCTTCCTGCCTCTGAGCTCAGCCTCCTCCCAGGCAGGAGCACCTTCCAGAGTGTCACAGACTGTTAGTGTGTGTCTGTGTCCAAGGCCCTGCTCTGTCTGTCCCCTCCTCGCTCGGTGCGGCCCCCCATCCCTCAGCGGCAAGGCTGGGAAGTGTCTGTGCCCCGGGAGAGCTGCAGCTCACCCCAGGGATGCCCTCTGAGTCCTGACCTAGGTCTGTCTGAACCAGCGAAGGAGCCCCAGGACCTTTGCAACAAAGAAACCCGGCCGATCATACAGACTTCCCTGAAGGTAGAATTCACATCCAGTCTGCAGGTGACAAATGTCTCCCAGGGCTAGGAAGGGACTAAGTAGATGACAGCTGTGTAAGGGAACTTACCCATGGTCACAGAGTTCACTTCCAGGACAGGTGTCCAGGAGCAGGTGTGTCAGGAGTGGGATGACATTCTGTGTGTGGGGGAGGCAGTGACCTGTGCCCTGGAAGGACGACTGGGTCCATCTTCCTGTGGAAGGGTCCAGACAGACCTTGAGTTCCCCTTGTGCCCGGGCTGTGCCTGGGTCTTTCATAAGTCTACTCTGGGCTAACAATGCTGTTCCACAGACAGAGTGCTTGCCTAGCACGTCCTGGGTCAGGCACAGCACCACATAATCCAGGAGTGCTGGCACCTCCCTGTCATCCTAGCCCTGGAGAGCTGGAGGCAGGAGAGCCAGGAGTTCAAGGTCACCCTCAGCCCCAAGTGACGCCAGGCGAGAATGGGCAACACGTAACTCTAACAAATGAAAACAAAGGATAAATGTTGTAGTCCAAAGCATTCTGAAGCACTTAAGAAGTTATTCATCTATTTTTTGTTTGTTTGTTTATTGGTTTTTGGAGACAGCTTTCTCTGAGTAGCCCTGGCCATCCTTGAACTCACTATATAGACCAGGCTGGTCTCCAACTTAGAGACTTGTCTGCCTCTGCCTTCAAAGTGCTGGGATTAAAGGTGTGTGTGACGTAACCACTGCCTTTTTTTTTTTTTTTAAGGCAGAAGAAACAGACTTAGCTAAATAGTTCTAATAGCAACCTTAGAGGTTTTATAACTCAAGGGTACACATGTAGGAAATGCCACCTTAATTTTACATGTGTAATTTTAGCACTTAGGGGACTGAGGCAGGAGGATTCTTTTGTTGGGAATATACAATGAATTTCCAGGCTAACTAGGCTCAACCAAAGGTAGATTAAAACTAATAAATGTGAGTAAATTAATTCAGTGGATAGCCAAAGGGATATTTGGGACTAAATGACATGGTGGCCGAAAGATAAAGTTCTTGTCACTCACTAACTGCTACCTTCAGATGTCCGTCAGCTGAGTCAGAGGACCTCTCTAGGCTCCTACAGACCCCTGGCTACACTGTTTCCGGTCTCCTAGCGGTTTTTCCTCTCTCTTGGAGTAAGGGCAGGGCCAGGACTCACAGTCACCACCACTGTGTCTAACGTAGAACAGGTCACAAAGCAGGGACTCAGGAACTGGGGTTCCTTTGTGGGTGAAGGTAACTGGGCAAGGCCTTCTGTGCCCTGCAAACTCTTTCCGGTCAGTACTTAAGAAGGGGAATGGTACTGAGAAAACCAGAGCCAGGGGCAGGCCTCTTGGCGGGCAGCCACCTCCCCATCCCCACCCCAGCCTCACACCTGGCCGGCCGTCATCAACGAATGTGCAGCTGACAAACTCTCACAATAGCAAGAGGTGGGAGCTGGGTTTGGACCTCCACCAAGATTTCCCAGTGTGATCCTGGAGGGCTGCACAGCTCGGAGTCACATCAACCAGAGCCCTAGGGACCCGGTGGGGCTTGAGGACTGGATGTCAATCAGAGAGACCCACAGGCAGTACAATTAATAATAGACACATAAACAAACATTAATTTTGTCACAGGCGGTGAGAGCAGTGGCTTTGGAGACTACGCCAGGGTCTAGGAGACAAGGAGGAAATAGGAAGTAGAAAGGAGGAAGTCAGGATGGAGAGCCTGGAGAGAACAGAACCGCCATTCCTCTGCTCTCGGTAAGACCACATGGAAATACATAGAAATGGGTTAATAATTAAGACAGAGCTAGCCGATAAGAAACTAGCACCTGGCCAATAGCATAATATCAAATACAGAGTCTCTGTGCATTATTTGGGGCTGGCGCGGCAGGAGGAAAAACCGTACTCATTACAGGAGAGCTGCTCGACAGGCCCGGCCGGCAGGGGCTCACAAGTGATGGTGTCCTTATGCAAAAGCTGCAGAGAGAGGCAGGCACTCCAGGACATCAGTATGAGGGCAACTGGCTGGAGGGCAGGGGCTAGAGACCCTGTGCAATCAGAATGGTGGGTCTGGGAGCAGGGTGAGGAAAGATGAAATCCAGTCAGTCATGACTTATTTAAATATCTGTGGACATTTAACCATCATTCATAAAATAAAAAGTTTTGAACACATTTTAAAAAGAAATCTTGGCCAGGCTTTGGTGGTACCCTCCTTTAATCCCAGTGCTCAGGAGGCAGGTGGATCTCTGTGAGTTCAAGGCCAACCTGGTCTACAGAGTTCCAGGACAGCCACGACTATGTAATGAGACCCCCATCTCAAAAAATAAAAACCAGCAAACGAATCTTAAAGAATGGATCTTTGAGACAGGTGCACGGGGGGAGGAGAAAACAGGAAAGCTGAGGCCATAGGGCTTGACACAGATCATGGCCTTGGGCAGAGACCCTGCTCACAGCCCAGGTGACTCTGGAGCCGTCCCTGGGGCTAAGGACAGTAGACATAAGGGCACCAGCAGGGCTGACAGCAGGACTGCTCATCCTCATCCGGGAGCAGAGGCCATGGAGTCCCCTTCTCTGCTTCTCTGCAAAGGGCTGCTGCTCACAGGTGAGGCCAGGCCTGCAGTGGTGTGGGCAGGGCGCTCTGACAGGAAGACATCCCAGGAGGGAGATGCTTCAGCCTGAGAAGGAGGACACAGGAGGGACAGAGGCTGCTCAGCTGGGAGCTCTCAGGGGACAGGGAGTGTTAGCGGGGAGGACAAGCCAGATCCTTCTTTATTCAAAGTCAGTCCTGGGGTCCTGCAGGGGTGGCCATGGCGATGGGGGTGTGTGAGGGGTGGGGTCCACAGGAGGACTGCAAATGTCCTGGGTCAGGGGTGTGGTGTGTGTGTGTGTGTGTGTGTGTGTGGTGTGGTGTGGTGTGGTGTGTGTGTGTGGTGTGTGTGGTGTGTGTGTGTGTGTGTGTGTGTGGTGTGGTGTGTGTGGTGTGTGTGGTGTGGTGTGTGTGGTGTGTGTGGTGTGTGTGGTGTGTGTGGTGTGGTGTGGTGTGTGTGGTGTGGCAGAGCAGCTAGGCATTGCTGAGAAAGATGGGGAGGATGCTCTGAGGACATTGGGAAGGGGAGAGGGGATTGTCACTGAGTGGGGCGGGGTGAAGGAAGGGTCCTTAGCTGCCTCCAGTGGGTGAGCAGGGGAAGTGCCCTAACCCCGTGAAGTTTGGGGTCACCTGTTCCTAGGTGCCTGTCACTGTCAGGAATCTGTACACCTAGGAAGCAGATGGCCCTATAACTGGAGACAGGCTGCCCCCTCTCCACAGCTTCATGGAAGCCAGAATCTCCTGGAAGGGCAGCTGTGGGAGACAGGGAGGAAGCTACCCCTTGGGAGTTAAAAATTTTTACAAGTCCAGAAGCCCAGGGTCGTTTGACAGACTCAATCCCAAGCCCATGCCTGGTAGCATTTCTAAAACACTGGGGAAGTGCGTTCTGTTTAACCCCTAAGTCAAAGCTAACATTCCAGCCTGTTTGCGCACACACATGCCTGCGGTTATGGGAAGGGGATAAAGATACACATCATGGGGAGCATGGTTCGGAGACACTAACTTCTCATCCGGCTTCTCCAAGCTGCACAGGGAAGAAAGAAGAACAGCCTATTTCCCCTTCACTCCTTACTCCTCTGGGGATTGTAAGTTGTGAGTTGTCAAGTCACGGGCTCCTATAGGCATTTTCAAGGCAGGCGGGTGTTGTACACGTGTCTGAGCAGCCTGTTGGACTGTATTATAGATGCACAGGTTCAGGTCTGCATTAAGGTGGGACCCAAGAATATGAGTATTGGGGTGGTTATTGGAGGAGTCGAGTCTAGTGTCTGCCAGGAACTGCATGGGGTTTTGATGCCATCAGAGCCACAGAAGTCTGAGTCTTTCCCAGGCACATGGCCTTCCCAAAGGCCCATCCCTAGCCCCCGTCCTCACAAAGTCCTCCTTCTTATGGTCTGCAAGGAAGAGAGCAGCCAGGTCTTCTATAAGGTACAGCCAGGGGTTGACTGCAAACACAGGGAACGAACCAGTAACATTCAGGTAGTGATGACCCAGTGTCTCTAGAGGAGGAGGTCAGGGATGGCATCCCCAACCCCAAATAAATTCTTGCATTATGAGCAGGCCCTGAGGACAGTGAACAGGGAGCCACGCAGACTCAAGGAGAGCGTTCCAGAACTTCGGGGAACTGGGGAATGTAGGTGATGAAGGTCTCCTGCACACCCTCACCACACACACAGGCTGAGAGATGAACACTCCTCCATCTTTCCACCAGAACCTGTGTCCCCATGTTAACGGACCTTCCTCTCTTCTCAGCCTTCCTCTTAACATGCTGGAATACACCTACCACCGCCGAGCTCACTATCGAATTAGTGCCGCCCATGGTGGCTGAAGGTGGAAACTCCATCCTATTTGTGCATAAAATGCCACTGAATGTCCAGGCATTTTACTGGTACAAACGGAAAAACCCGACCAAGAGCTACGAAGTCGCTCGGTACTTAACGCCCAACAACACAACGTCGAAGATGCCTCAACTCAGCGGTAGGAAAACAGTATTCTACAGTGGATCCCTGCTGATCAGAAATGTTACCCAGGCTGACAGCGGATTGTACACCTTACTAACGTTAAACACAGAAATGGAAAGTGAGCTAACACACGTGCAGCTGGACGTACACAGTGAGTGATCGTGTGACCTCTGGGTGCTGGGGTGGGGTTCGTTCCATTTTACACATGCAGGGCCATCAGGCACAGGAGAGACCCATCTCCTTCCGCATGTCTCCTTGCTGCGGTTTGAGCATTTAGTGCAGGACACACACCGACCGGGGAGGGAAAAAACCCAAAATAGGTCCGAGTCCTTTACCTGACTCTGCCTCCAGAGATGCACTTATGTATCTCAGTCTGAGGATGTCAGTCACCCTCAGCCCAAACTCTTGGGGCTTCACCGTGAACACGGCCCTGAGTTGGGATGTTGGGAGTCAGGCGGGGCCTGACTGAGGAAACCGTGGAGCCCTCACAATGAGGTGACCATGAGGAAGTCCTGACTCCAGATCTCCTCCATCCTGTTAGAGATGACAGAGGACAAGGATGTTTTGGCTCCCTGCCTCATATCAGGGGGAATCAGCCCATGCACTGGATGGAGGGCCACAGTTAGGCTAGTCCACCTGGACATCTCCTTCTGAATCTCAGTATGGAGACCCCGGCTGTTCTGAGGGGCTCATGGGGACATGGGTCTTTCTGTCAACTGCTTGTCCTCAGGGGTCCAGCCCAGTCAACTCTCTCCTGTAGGCACAGCAACAGACTACGACGTTTTGGGAAGCTCCCACCTTTGAAGGTCAGGTCCTAGTTCATATTTAAGTCACCTTAAATATGTCACCTAGTGGACATGGCAATGATCACTTGTCATATGCATTACTATTACTATTATTATTACTGTTTTTTTTTTTTTTTTTAAGACAGGGCTTCTCTATGTAGCCCTGACTATCCTAGAACTTAGCAGGCTGGCCTGGAACTCACAGAGCTCCTCCTGCCTCTGGCTCCCTAGTGCTGGGATTAAAGGTGTGCACCACTGCTGCCCAGCCATGTGCCCTGTTGTGTGGAAACAGAGACACTGGAAGTAGAGGGGCGAAATCCGGGCCACACAGACTGTGGGTGACAGATGTCACGTCTGTCTACAGCCTCAGACCCAGCTTCTCCACCCCGGAGGCTCCAGCAGGTCTCTGTGGACCAGAGAGGGCTGGCTGGGGGATCTGAGGGTGAGCCACCATCATTCGGTACCCCCCCCCTCCGTTCTTCCACAGAGCCTGTGGCACAGCCTACCCTCCAAGCAGACAATACAGCAGTGACAGAAGACGGCCCAGTGGCCCTCACCTGCCTCACGGAAGACCCCGGGCTCTCCATCCGCTGGTTCTTCCATCACCAGAGCCTGTATTTCAACGACAGGATGACGCTGTCCCAGAAAAACAGCCGGCTCAGCATAAACCCCGTCAGGAGGGAGGATGCGGGGGAGTATCAGTGTGAGGTCTCCAATGGGTACAGTTCTAAGACGAGTCCCCCAATCCAAATATCTGTGGCCAGTGAGTGAGCTCTCCTCTCTCTAGGCGCCACAGCTGGGGCAGTGGCGGAAGGGGGGGACTTCTTTGTCAATGATATGGAAAATGGAGAAACCTTCTAGGGGGAAAGCCAGCAGTGAAGACATCAAGGCAGCCAGCATGGAGACACAGACCCATGATCCCTGGTTAAGCATGGAGACACAGACCCATGATCCCTGGTTAAGCATGAGTCAGGAGGAATGTGAATTTGAACCAGCCAGGGCTACAAAGAGAAACATATAGATAGATAGATAGATAGATAGATAGATAGATAGATAGATAGATAGATAGACAGACAGACAGACAGAGTCAAAGGAATTAATTAAGGCCTTCGGTTCTGAGCCCAGTATGTCCCAGTCCTCCAAAACCATGGGAAACTGATTTCAGAGGCCCCTGGATCTTCTGAAGCCCCTGTTAAAATTGGCGTAGTGTCGCATGATCCCCCCACAGGCTCGAATCATCTGGTGCCTAACGCCACACCCACCGGTCATCCACAGAAAATGAGGAAGAGTGACAGGAGAGAGGCTGCCCATGCTTTACGGAGGACACGGCCTCTTTCTGAGTACTTCGGTTCACAGTTTGCTCCACCCACAGATGCAAAACCCACGTCGTGAAGGCCCAGCTGGACGGTTTCTATCCTGAGACCGACACATGCAGCGTGAACTTCAACACGCTTTTTCTTTTCTGTTAGCAACATTTAGGTGTGTGTGCGCTAAGTATGTGTACACATGTATATATTTAAGTGGTTTCCCATTTTAGCCATTTGAAGTGTACAATTAATTGCATAAGGCATCTTTATATTTTGGTTCAAACACCACCGCTGTCGGTCTCTGAACCATTTCTGAGCATATCCCCATTTCCTGTCCACTTCTGTCCCTATGTATGTGGCATTTGTCTTTTGTTGTTGTTGTTAGCATCATATCAAGTGTGATTCTGTCCTCTCAAGCCATTCGGTTGGTGGCATCCCTCTGGCTGGATACCCATTAAAGGGAGTCCCTGGTACAGTTGATACATCTTTTGTTGGTTGTTTTACATTCTTGCTTACTGTCTGTCTATTTGATTTTCATCCTTAAATTCATTTGCAACTCCCTGGGACTCCTATAGAGTCGGTGTAACATCAAAGATCCTGGGTAGTGTCCTCTCAGTCTTGGGGTTAATTAGTTTTGCTAATAGGGGGAGAACCGAAGGCTGAAGGCCAGGGTGAAGGGCATGGGGGGGGGTTGAACCAATGCAAGGGTCCTACATCAGTTGGGTGGTGGCTTGAGTAAAGCTGTCCTGTCCACAGTACCACCCGGTGTCAGCTCAGGACACAGTGAATGCTGAGTGATTTCTGCATCCATCCCTTCTGGTGCTTGAGATATTTCCGGGGTGGGGTGGGGTGGGGTGGGGTGTGATGAGCACCTACTACTCTGCCATGTGAGGCATGAGCAGTAATTCACCATCCCTAATGATGAAGACGTTCCAATATGCCAGCCTGTGGCCGGTAGAGTTAGGAACAAGTTTTACCTCCCCATGCTTCCTTACCCCGTAACAAGGCTAGCATGCATTTACTCCCGTAGGGACTCTATGTCCCATCCAAGGGAAAAGGGTACTTACTGTTGAGCCTGGGGGTGCCCTGCAATGCTAGTGTATCAATCACATTTATTGAGTTCGTGCACTGTTATGTTAAGCCATTCTACCCAAGCTTTTGTCCTCTATATCCAGTTTCTCTCAGTTAATTAGCCAAAGTTAAAGGAAAGTCAGGGTTGGAGAGATGGCTCAGAGGTCACTGATGGCTCTTCCAGAGGTCCTGAGTTCAATTCCCAGCAACATGGTGGCTCACAACCATCTGTAATGAGATCTGGTGCCCTCCCTGGCATGCAGGCAGACATGCAGGCAGAACACTGCACATATAATAAATAAATAAATCTTAAGAAAACAAAACAAAATAAAAAAACCAAAGGAAAGTCTACCATCAATATATCCCTTAGGTGGTCAAGTACTGTCAGGTTCCTTGCAGAGTTAATCTTATGGGTTCCATAGATGACCACCTGGGAAAACTCAGGACACGTTTGTATATGCAAGAAAGTTCCCTCTGGTTACCCTAGTCTTGTGGCCACTTGGAAAGTTAGCAGAAAGCTGCTTTAGCTTTCAACACTGGAATGAACTCCGCTTACTTGGGAAGTAGAGTGCATTTTTTTTTTTTTTATTGTTTGGTTGGGTTTTGTTGTTTTTTCGTTTTCGAGAGGGGTTTCTCCGTGTAGACCAGGTTGGCCTCAAACTCACTGAGATCCTCCTGCCGCTGCCTCCCAAGTGCTGGGATTAAAGGCATGCACCACCACCACCTGGCACAGTACAGACTCTTTTTTCTTAGCTATATTATATTATCACAGCTCTGATTACAAAATACACACTGCATAAGATACATCTGTAATGCTTGCTCTTTTCTTGCCGGACAAAGAGCTGCTTTTTATGTTATCAGTTGGGCCTTTCCCCAGAAACTAATTTTGAAGAACATGGCTCTTGGCCAAGGAAATACCTGTTGGGAGTGTGAAGTCAGTTTATTCTCTGGTGACTCTGTAAACATCCTCTTCATTTCTAGGGACATCTGGAGAGTGCATTGTCCTGCTCTGACATCAGTCCAGAAAATCTCCTTCAGTTTCCAGCTAACTTCTTTTTGTACTTTTCCCCCCTCAAGGCAGAGTCTTATGTGTCCCAAATTAGCTTCGAACTTCCCATGCAGCGGAGGAATACCTAGGACTTGACTCTTTTGCCAAGTGCTGGGATTACATGCCTGCACTTGCGTCCTGGGGCCAGAGACAGAACCCATGTCTTTGTATGTGCTAGGCCAGCAGACTCAGCACTTCACCTCCTCTTTCTGATGCCTTGTTTCTGTTGTCCAGTGCTGGCCAGGAATTTATACACTAGGCAAGAGCTCTTTGGTTTGTTTGAGACAAGATCTCACTGTCTAACCCTGCCTAGCCTAGCGGTGATGGCGCACACCTTTAATCCCAGCACTCGGGAGGCGGAGGCAGGTGGGTCTCTGTGAGTTCTAGGCCAGCCTGGTCTGCAGAGTGAGTTCCAGGACAGTCAGAGACACACAGAGAAACCCTGTCTCAAAACAAAACAAAGCAAAACCCTGCTTAGCCTGGGACTTGCTATGTAGATCAAGCTGGTCTTGAATTCACAGGGATCCACCTGTCTCTGCCTCCTGAATGCTAGGATTAAATGCATGAACCACTATGCTCAGCTTATTTCCTTATTTTTTTTCTATTTAAATTTGAACAAAGCTTGTTTTACATGTCAACCCCAGTTCCCTGTGCATCCCACACATGCTCAATAAATAAATAAATAAACACATAAATATAAAAAGAAAACTAATCATGGAGCTACTAAAAATCAGGAGGGCTGGCTGAATGCCACAGATAGAAAAGTAATAACCACAGAGGCCACAGCTGCCAATCTAGTCTGGCAAGCTCACACAGCAAGCCCTCTGGGGAGAAACTGCCCTATGAGAAGCAGGTTGTGGCTGCGCCTTTGATCCCAGCCCTTGGGAGGCCAGCCTAATCTACGGAGAGACTTGGAGATCTGGAACAGCCAGGGCTGTCTTGAAAACAAGCAACAACAAAAAGGAACATTGCAAATATATTTGGTAGCCCCGAGGTTGCCAACACTGACCCGATAAACTAGAAAGGACAATCTGCTGTGATCAGCATAATCCCAAACAAGGCTCTAGGGCCCCATGCTATCGCAAAAACTAGGGTCCAACCCATGTATAAACATTTAGAAAGTAGTCTTTACTGACATTGAACCCAATGGAAGGTACCAGTAGTTTCTGGTATGCACGTTCTCAGGCTGGGTAGAATCCTTTCCTACCTGCACAGAGAATTAACTTGGAACTTATGCACATGCTACCACCCCTGATCTTTAGGCATGATTGTGAGAATAAGACTTTGAAAATGGCAGTGACCAAGGGCTGGAGAGATGGCTCAGTGGTTAAGAGCACCGGCTGCTCTTCCAGAGGACCTGGGTTCAATTTCTAGCAACCATATGGGGGTTGGCAACCATCTAAACGGGACCTGGCGCCCTCTTCTGACATATACATGCATATAGAGCCCTCAGATGCAAGTTTTAAAACAAGGAAATGCAAATAAAATAAAATTAAAAATGGCACTGGCCAAACATTGCCCAGAAACAGACTTTCCTTGATCAGAGAGTCTGCCACCTGTACTGTTTGGGGTGCACAGTATGCTCTGTGGATGCACTGTTTGGGGTGTACCATATTCTCTGTAAATGTGGTTACTTTCCTTTTGAAACAATGCTTGGCCACTCACCACTTACATTGCTCCCAAAGGATTCAGGGGATCCCTGAGAGTGTGGACACACCGACCTCCAGTGTTGTTTTTTGTTTTCTTGTTTTGTTTTGTTTTGTTTTTGAGACAGGATTTCTCTGGACATCTTGGAACTCACTCTGTAGACCAGGCTGACCTCAAACTCAGAGATCCTCCTGCCTCTGCCTCCCAAGTGCTGTGATTAAAGGCATGTGCCACCACCACCTGGCTTCCAGTGATTCTTTTTCTTTTTTAACTTTTCAATTTTATTTACTTATTTTTTATGTGCATTGGTGTTTTGCCTGCATGTGTGTCTGTGTGAGGTTAATGGGTCCCTTGGAACTGGAATTATGGGCAGTTGTGAGCTGCCATGTGGTTACTGGGGATTGAACTCTGGTCCTCTGGAAGAGCAGTCAATGCTCTTAACTGCTGAGCCATCTCTCCAGTACTCCAGTGGTTTTTGAAAGACTTAGCTGACATTGCACCAAAAGCTGAAAGTGTCTGTCATGCTTACTGTGGCTACAGGCCAGGTCTGCACCACAAGAGCTGACCCAGACTAGCCTCTGAAACTGACCATCTCAAAATAACTTCAGGATGGACTTCAGAGTGGATCCAGCTTCCACTCTGCCCCCTGATGCCCTTTCTGATCCCGTAGGTGCACATCCGAGCCAGTTCCCCAACCTTGTCCCACGTCAACTCCAATTCCTG